CAACTCCCAGAATTCCATGCTGGCTGGGGAATTCTGGGAGTTGAAGTCCACACATCTTAAAACTCCCAAGGTTGAGAAACACTGTTCTAGACAGTAGCTCCAAGTACTAGAACCTGGTTCTAGATGTTCAGGTGTGACAGCAATCCACACATGTTCAGAGTTTCTCTTTCTAGGACTGGACACTAGAAATGTGTTCCTAGTTCCTTCACTCTTCCTTGGCTGGCCCTCAACAACTCCTCTACAGCCATTGGCAGAAAGAATCTGAGGAAAGTAGTATGGAGGCTGTGTGTGGAAATAATGATTTCCCCTTTTCTCCCCCAGATACAAACAAATTAGGACGTTTCTGGTTTTTCAGGTGCAAAATATTCACTGGAAGATTGCAATGTGTTATATTTGTTTCGCCTTGGGTGTGAGATAGTGAATTGTGTATGTTTGTGAGTGTGTTAGCGTTACCAGTTTGCCTTCTAGAAAACAGATATTGTTTATAGTTTGTGGGTGAAAATCTGTGATTTGGCATTTGAAATTCACAGCAGCAAGGTTGCTCAGAGTAGCATATGCAATTCTATTCCTCCCAAGTCCTTATTTTAATTTCAGAAGCATCTTGAGAAGCAGGTTAAACTGGATAAGTGGCACAATAAAGTCATAAAATCACAGAATTGGAAGAGATGGTTGAAACCAGTGTTTTTCAAACTTGGCAACCTTAAGATGTGCGAACGTCAACTCCCAGAATTCCCCAGCCAGCATGGGAATTCTGGGAGTTGAAGTCCACACATCTTAAAGTTGCCAAGGTTGAAAAACACTGATTTCAACCAGCAATTCAGTACAGCAATTTAAATTAAAATATTCCGAAAAGATGGTTATCCACCTTCTGTATGGACATGTTGGTGAAGAGGAGCACACACAACAATTTGTGTAGTTTCTGCCTCAAGGCCTAACAGAGGGTATGCTATTTAGCTCTCAAATTCAAAGATAACATTATGCTATTGTCTGTATCTTGTAATCTCTAGATCTGTTCACCCATCATGGATAAGAAAATACAATTGCCAGCTTCACATAGCTTGCCGCACCTGAACAAATCTCATTATGGTTTAATGCAGTGTTTCTCAACCTTGTCCACTTTATGATGTGTGGCTGGCTGGGGAATTCTGGGAGTCGAAGTCCACACATCATAAAGTGGACAAGGTTGAGAAACACTGGTTTAATGTAATGCCCTGGTTTATAAAACATGGCATTCATAACACACTAAGCCACAAAGCCAACTTTAATTAAAAAACACAACATTATTAGCATTTTTAATGTTCACGAATTTGATAGTCTCCCAGAAATGAAGGATCTGGTTAGCACCTTTTCCGACTAGCAAATGTTATTAAAAGGCATAATCTTTTGTGAGTTTTTAATAAAATGTGTTAGTCGAAAAAAGGTGCTACTAGATTTGTCGTTGTTTGTCACCATACCAACAAGGCTCTCCTCCTACAATAGCCTCGAAACTGTCCCATCAGAAGTTCCCCAAAGTAAGATCATCCTCTCATTAAGATGACCCACCCGACTCACCTTGCCTGGGCTCTGAAGGTCAGGCCGGGTTAATGCCTGGATAGGAGACCACCAGGAAACCCCACCGTGTAGTCTAAACTAGGAAATCGGGGGAAAAAAACACCAACCGGGGAGAAGGCGAGAGAAAGCCACTTCTGTCCTGTCGGGAGGAAAGCCCCGAAGGAGCCCGGGCTTCCTTTCATCACCCTTCTA